GAAGAGAACACAGGAGCTCACCTTTCAGGCATAAGCCTACAGAAATATTCGAAATGTAATGTCAAAAGTACACACTACAAATAAACTATTAGACTTTATCAGAAATAAAATGTTAGGTTCTACAAAGGTCCTTCACTAGAGGATGAAAAAAAAACATGCTATATACTGGAGAAAATACTAACGTGAGGCAAACGTCTGACAAAGGACTTGTATTGGGAACAGGAACATATAAAGAACTGTGAAAGCTGGGCCCGACAAGATGGCTCAATGGTTAAATCCTCACTGAGCAAGCACCAGGATCCTATATAGGCACCAATTCATGTACTGGCTGCTCCACTTCTCTTCCAGCTTCCTGATTATTGCCTGAGAAAGCAGTGGAGGATGGTTCACAGCCTTGGGACCTGTACCCATATGGGAGACCCAGGAGAAGCTCCTGGCTCTGGCTTCAGATCAGCTCAGCTCCAACCATTGTGGCCATTTCGAGAGTGAACCAGTAGATGAAAGATCTTTCCCTCTGTCTCTCCTTCTCTCTGTAAATCCGCCTTTTCAATAAAAATAAATATTTTGGAAAAAAAATTCCGAAAGCTGAGTGGCAAAACAATCAAGTTGAAAAATTGGCAAAAAAAAAAAAAAAATGAATACACACATTCAACAAACAGGATATATAAACGGCAAACACATGAAAGGCAAATTTTTAAACCATAACAAGGGGTGAATGCCTGCCTCTGTGGCTAGAGTTCTAGCTCTGCTTCAGATCGCAGGCTCCACTTCCTATTAATGCACCGCGCAAGGCTCAAGTAGATGGGTCCCTACCACATACGGAAAATCGGAGTCTCAGTTGTGTGGGCATTTGTGGGGTGAACCAGAGGATGGGAGGATATTCTCTCTCTCCCAAATAAATATATGTAATAAATTGTCCATATGCAAACCATAATATCTAAGATAAATATATAGTCTATATGATTTATAAGTATATAAATATTATAGAAATATATATTCACATACAATATATTTTTTAAAGAACAATACTTAGAACAGCTATTGGGGCAACTAAAATTAATAATAATGGCAAAACCTACTGTTGGCGAAGATCCACAGAAACTGTTTCACACACCGCTAACAGGAATGTAAAATGGTTGTCATTCTGGAAAATGCTCTGGAAACTTCATAAAAAGCTAACACATGTTGAACTTATGATGTAGCACATCAAAGTCCTGGATGCTAATCCCAAGGAAATAAAACGTATGCCCACACAAACACCTTAATGTTTATAGCAACTTAATGTGCAACTGTCAAAAGCTGAAAGCAATTCAGATGCCCTACAATGGAGGAACGCTTAACCAAGCCACGAAGCATCCTTACCATTGACTAGTACTCAGTGAAAAGAAGAAGCCATTGATAGAAACAAAAGTTTGGATAGGTCAGTTTCAAGAGATCCTATACCCCCTGAATTTACTTATGTAAAATTATCAGAATAATTCTACATATGGCGAACAGATTAGAAATTATTAGCGTTTAGGGCCACGGGGGAGCAAGGAGAGGAGACCAGCATGGTTGTGAGCATGAAGGGGTGACAGAATAATTCTGCGTCTTGATGGTGGTGATGGTTATATGAACCTATAAAAGGGGGAGACGCAGCTGTGCGTACAAACACAAGGGTGTGCATGTAAATCTGGCGAACTCAATATGCCCTGTGGGTGCACCAGTGCCAACTTCCTAGCCCAGTTGGTGTGCTACAGTTATGTAAGGCATGAGCCATGCAGAAAACCAGCTGAAGGATACACAGACCTCTACTATTTTTGTAATTTCCTATGGGATTTTACTCATTTCAAAATAATGGAAAAAAAAAACTAGTAAACCACAGACATTTTATTTAAAAATGGGAAACAAAAAAGCTAGTAGCTAAAATACTGCACAGTGAGTTAGTTCCCAAACAGTCTTATATACACAGTCATAGGCTATGATTTTGATCATCAAAAACTTCAATCTGCTACTCCAGAGTCTTAGAATTCCTTACAATTCCTACAATTCGACCTACTTTCCTACTCCCCCCTGAATAAGAGAGTAAAAATATCTCCTTGAGCACCTGTGGGAGTCCAGGAGTCCTGGGCTGAGTTCATAAGCCTGGCCACAGGGTGGTACAAGCCAGAGAACCCTGGAGGTGCAGGCACACCAGCCCAGCAGCCATGGCTCCTAGCTCCCTCATGGCAAAAGTAATATACTGCCCAAACTACTACCAGGGCTGGGTCCACATTGTGTGCCTCTCCTCCAAGACAAAACAAAGTAAAAAAAAAAAAAAAAGTAAAACAAAACAAAAAAACACTAGGCAAACAAACCCAAAATCCTCAACAACCTCAATTTCCTGCAAACCTTGTAATCAAATATGTCTTCCTCTGTGACCTCTGTGCTACCTCTTGCTTTTCAAGGATTCTATTACCTACAAATTTCTCAGTCCTATGAACCTACCAAAAACGAATGAAGAAATGAAATAAACACTGCAGAATGTCCTGACCCGAGCCTCCAAATGCATGTGAAATGCAACTAACCCCCTCTATCTTAAAAGTTATTCTGGGGTGGTATAAAAGGGGGAGAGACTTTTGCAAATCAGAATTATCTACAGATCCTACAGTACTATTTTTTCTTTAATGCACTGATCTGACAAGCAAATGCTTCACAAATTCATCCAACAATTCCTTAGTTTCGTGGCATTAATGAAGTCTTCTACAATGTTTCATCATTTCCAAGGCATGTTCACAACATGCTGCTAGGGAATTCAGCACAGGACCTGCAGGCTGGACTTTCTAATAGTACCCTCACCAGCCAGACTGCCTGCCTTCTAATTTCAAGGAATTCTCGGAGATCCTTCCCCCAGGCCCCCAGCTCTCACACTTCTGCACAGGAGTGGATGAGAGAGAGAGAGAGAGAGAGAGAGAGAGAGAGAGAGAGAGAGAGAGAGAGAGAGAGAGACGTGCTCTATCTACCCTTAGATACCCCAGAGGCCTTCCCTAAAGTCACTCACACTATCGTATTCAAAACCTCACTTAAACAGAAAGTCATCCATTAGCTTTCATGAAAACATGTACTTTTCAATGCTTTGATCTCCATGTGCTGGTTCCTACATCAATGTTTTTCGCCTTCCAAAATCTGCAGGGAAGCTAACTGACCAGGAACCCTGTGCATCTTTCAAAGAAGAGCGAAGGCAAAGCGAGTTCTACACGCAGACTTACAGGGCTTTCCCTCCCAAGAACTAAACAGCTTGCTCCTGGCTTCCCCACACCACTGGCGGGAATGTGGAGTTTCTCTGGGTCCAGCTCCTTACCCTCCTGGTGGAATCTGTGCTCAACTCCCCTTCCCTCCCTTCCAGAATAGTTCAACGTGGCCCATCCTGCTCCTAAAGAACAGTCACAGAAGATCCTGCCAATGAGCCCAGCCCCGGGCTAGGAAGGCAGTTCCTCTGGATCCTTCAAGAATTTACCACCTAGGAGACACCCCTCTACCAGGCCACAGGATTACAGGTCCTGTAGTGGGAGGCAAGTCAGGGGCAAGGCTGGCAGGGACCTACAGGCCTGTTTTGGAAGCAGGGAGCCATGACTGTTCATGTAAAGCCCTGATTTCGCCCCTGAAAGGGAAGGAAATTTTCTGGAATTGTGGCTATTAATATCCCTCCATTCCAGTTTGATTTCGTCTACGGCAAGTAGGTTAACACGTTATTATTTGGGGGTGGTCAGAAACACCTTGAAAGTGTCGCAAGTGGCTCTCATGTCCCCATCCCCCTCCCGGAACGGGAGCCTTTATAAGCACTACAAAAACTCCCATTTTCCTGCCTTGCCTCAGTTGAACAAAATGGGCCACCGTGAATGTTCGAGGCTCTGGAGCTTGGCAACTAGGGCAACACAACATTAGGTCCAAATCGCACAGCCTGCGAGTGGCCAAGGGCCCCAGGTCCAAGCCCGGTGAGCCACACAAACTTAAGTCAGAAAAACTAATCCTTCCAACAAAAATAGAAAGGGAAAGTTCTTTCCGGTCTTCAATCAAGATACCAGGACTAGGGCGGGTGCCAGCTGGAGCTGTGCGTGGGGACCCAGGATTCTCTACCCGAGGTCCTCAGGGGGTAAACTTAGAAACGTCTCCGTCTCCGAGCCTCCTTAGATCCCTGCAGCCCTTGGGCAAGTTTGGCCCCTGTCCTGACGCAGGGCCCTGGAGCCGCTCGTTTGTCATCGGAGGACGTACCAACTTTCTCCTGCCACACATGTCACATTCCAAGAAAAACCAGTTCCACTTGGAAAAGTTTAATTCCGCACCCACCCCAACCAGCTTCTTTTAAAGGTAAGGCAAAGCCAGACCGCACTCCCCGATTAAGGAAACTTGTCTGGGCAGAACAAAGAAGACACAGTAGTGGGAGGCGGTCGGAGGCCGGGGGTCCTGAGTGCGACCCCCTTAGCTTCCCCAACCGCCTGGTGACTTGTGCCTGCGGGCGGGCCGCATCCAGCCCGGCTGGCTCGGGTCAGTCGCGCTGCTAGGGGCGCACGCCTTTGTCTCCAGCGGAGGGAAGCGGGTCCCGGACACCCCCTTCCGCCCGGGCCGCAAGGAGCCTCGCGCGCGGGCGCGGCTCGGAGCCCGGCCGTGTGGCAGCGCCCCCTGCCCTCCCGGAACGCCGGCGCCGCGAGGGAGCGCGTCCGCACCGGGCCAGAGGACTCAACTTCCCCAGTCCGCGGCGGGGTGGCACCAGGTACCTGGTTGGGACGGAGGGGGCTCAGGCCATGGCTTCTGCTTTCTTTCTTTCACATCTGGATGACTAAGGACAAAATACCCGCAAGGGGACACTCCTGGTTCCCAAACGCTGAACCGGCTGCCCCCGGAGCACCGGCGCTCTGACCTCCCCCGCCCACGCGGAGCCCCCTCAGCTGAGGCAGCTGGCCGCAGCGTCCTTTGCGCCCCAGGCTTGGGGCTCTAGGGGCGCCCTCCCTGCATCCCACACGGGGAGGCGGAGGACCGGTTACCTTTCACCGCAGGCTCACAAGTTCCCCGGCGCAATTCTGCCCTCCTCATGAGGCGACCATGGCTAGTTCAGTCCTGTGGCTGGAGAAAGCGGCTGCTGGGCAGCGCGCTGGGCATGGCTTGGGGCAGCGCGGGGAAGTGGCTGGCGCCCGACAATCAGCCCCATTCACACAGGAAGGAAGGAAATGCCAGGGTTTCACCTCCAGCTCCAAACCGCACTACCGCTGCTGGGTCCTAGAGAGTCCCGCGCGCGCCAGCCAGCCGCCCGCGCTCCCCGCTCCGGCGCGCAGTGCTGGGAAGGGTCGCCCCAGCCCGTCGCTGTAACCCTACACTCCACCCACGCCCCGGCGCCCGGCCGCTGGGCCCTAGAGCCCGACCACAGCCGCGCGCCACCCCTCCCTGGCCCGTGGGATTGCCAGCCTGGGACTGTCCAAGTTCCCGCTGACGTGTCTCCCGTAGACTTAGGAGGACGACAGCTTCCCCTGCTCTTAATTAGAGTCAGACTCTGACCAGTTTGCCTTCCGGACAAAACGTGCTTCCATCTCCTCCCGCTCCAAGCGTAGGTTGGGTTCTGCTCAGGATGGGAGTTGCTTCTTCCCCCGCCCCTCTCCTTCCCCTTTCCGCCGCCCCGACGCTTAGGTGGACTTTCTAGGTGGAAAATAGCCATGCTTTCACAACCTTTTCCAGGCCCCAGCGCTTCCCTCTCACACCACGAAGGAGCCAACACACAGTTATTACGTGCTGCACTGGACAAAACAGCCCCACAGCCTTCCATAGTAAACGCTGCGTGCCCAGACCCTTACCTTCTGGGGCCACATCTGCTATCAGCCCAAGTAGAGGCAGGGCGAGTGGCCAGGTTGTCCTTCTGTCCCCATCTCTTAACCCGGGCTGTGGCGATTCATAGTCCAAGGCCACCCTCATTAGGCTGCATTATACTTGCTGCACTCAAGAACCCTGAACTGGGGTGCCCCGAACTGCCCCATAGCCCCTTTGCTTGGCTTTCTGGGGGCAGATCTGCTGGGTAACTGCAGTTGCTTCCCTTGTTGGGAGGAGAATCAGCACACTCAGCCTCTTCTCCTGTCCCCCAACCCCCGTGGCTCCCCCAAACTGCAGCAATTCCCTAACTCTTAGGTCCATGCGGTGGGTTTGTGTGGCTTGATTGCAGCCTATTCTTCTGGCTCAGTAAGCTCTGCTCTCAAGATAAGACCCAATGCAATCCTTTAAAAAGTTAGCAACTGTTCCTCATTGTCAGGTGGGGGTTAGTCCCAGATCCTCTGTGCATACCAAAATCCTTGATACTCAAGTCCCTTGCATAAAATGACATATTTTTTGCAGATAACCCATGAACATCCTGCTGGCATAATTTCAATTTAGTCCCATACAATTGCAGGAGGTAAGAACTGTTATTGTCTCTGGTTTGCCCAGAAAGACACCATATCTTTGAAGATTCCAAATGTCAGGAAGAAGGATATCAAATCTTTGAGGTGAACTTCTACCCTTTTCCCTGACAAGATGGTGATCCCAGGGAAGACAACATATAAATAAAACAGATTTTGAGTCTGGGTCATTGAAAGAACAGACCGTTCTTGGAGGCCCAGGTCCTCAGATGAATGCTGGAAGCAGCACAGTGGTAAGGAAGAACTGGTTTGAAAAGATGCTGAGTAACTGTCCGCTGAGTAAGAGAGTCCAAAACCTGGATGAGACGGAAAGAACAGAGGAGCAAAACTGGGCAGGTTGGGTTGTTTGAAGAAGGGCTACAACTTCAGAACAGGGAAAGCAGAAGGAAGAAAAAGAGGAGGTAATACAAGGTGGGAAAATCTGAAGGTGTGGGGCTAAAGGAAGTATTAGGGAGTTGGTGCCTCTATGAGATGCAAAGGATGAAGTGATCGGCATCGTCTGTCAGGTCGAAAATCTTTTCAATCAAACAGGTGGACATAGCCTAGATGTCTCCAGCTGGTACCAAGGGATGGGACGCATGGTAGCTAGCACAAGCAGAAAAGACTGCTGGAGGCCAGTTTACGCCTTGCTTTTAGTAATGTCTACATCAAATACAAAAGAATGAAGGATCTTTACATCAAGCACCTCTGAATTTATTGTTCAGAAACTGAGACTTGAAAAAAAAAAGGCTTTAAGTTCCACTAGCAAAAGTTCATCAATAGCATTCTCTAACAGAAAAGGATATCTTCAAAAACCTGGTTGACAAACCAGATTGAAAGGTAAATTTGTTATAGCACAAAGCAATATGAAATTCACATGCAGATTTTCATAATAGGTATTTTCAATATATACATTTTTAGATACCTACATCAGGCTGGAGATTTTGTTTGAGCCGAATTACAAACAAAACAAAACAAAGCCCACGATACATTTGCAATTAAATATGAACCTAGCTTAACCAGCAGCAAGGCAGTGAATTGGTCAGTCCACATCTGTGCTTTCTATGGGATCTATACACTCATTCAAGGTCAACAACCTTCCTAGAGGGACTCAAGTTGTCATTTATTCACTCCTATGAGAGTTTAAGAAGGTGATAGAACAATGTGAGAACTCTTTGAAACAATCTGTAACTCCAAACAGGACAGGTTCCAGAAAGTTCCAGTTGTCTCGGGAGCATGACAGACCAGCAGAGGCTGGGGGCTGGGGCAGCAGTAAGGTGAGCTGGGTGTTCAGATACATGAGCGAGCACTGCCTATATATAGGAGAAAGAACTGGGTTCTAGTTCCAACTTCAACTATTTCCGGAGTTGGAGAGTCACTTAATCTGAGCCTCAGCTTCCTCTTGTGTGAAATCAGAATCATTCACCCCATAGATTCATTGTGAGAATTAGATGAAATGTTATATGTCAAGTGCCAGGCACATTTAAAGAATTCAGTGAATGGCAGAAACCCTTCCCTCCTCCAATAATTTGAAATGCTAAGGCAGTTAACCTCCCTATGACGATGGAAATCTCTTTCCCTTCTCATTCTTCTCAGCACCTACCTAAAGATACTCAGCAGTTAATGCCTAGACTTGGATAGGCTCTAATAATGAGTCCAAATTTGTCAAGAGGAAAAAGAGTGGCAAAGGAGTGGCTAGACATGCTCGTATAAGGCTTACCTGATGCATAGCCTCACTCAGAGTAATTCATAGTTCTCAGTTAACAACCCTTGAGTGAACATACCCAAGTCGCCTTAACCAAAAGGCTCCTTTTGCTTCTGGGACAAGGGAAGACACCTTTTAAAGGCCATCTCCTATAGTGCTTTCCAGAGCATGATTTCTGAACCAAAGCATGCAAATATTCAAATCCCTTATATCCCACCTCTGAATTTCAGAATTGCTAAGTCAGAGTCCTAGAATCCACTCTAAGAGAGTTCTGCCACATTGGTTTCCCACTGGCTCCCAGTGCTCTTCAAATGCTGTTTCAAAAGTTTTTACTACAGGAAGGTTTACTATATGAATGGTAAAAGATGAAGGTTGACCTATCGGAGGGCAAAACAGACCACCATGGAAGCACAGCTGAATGATTGTTATAGATAAAAAGGAGTGGAGGGGTGAGGTAGGATCCTAGCACTGTTTATTACACCTGTGCCTGAGGTGGCAGCATCCCAAATTGGTGCTGTCTTGAGTCCTGGCTGCTCCACTTTTTATTCAGCTCTCTACTCATGTAGAGAAAGCAGTAGCGGGTACCCCAAGTTTTTGAGACCCTGCACTCACATGGGAGACCCAGAAGAAGCTCCTGGCTTCTGTCTTCTGGCGGGCTCCGCTCTAGCCCTTGTTGGCCATTTGGAGAGTGAATCAGCTGAGGGAAGATCTCTCTGACTCTGCTCTTTCTGCAAAATCTGCCTTTCAAAAACAATAAATCTAAAAAGAAAGGAAGAAAGAAAGAAAGAAAGAAAGAAAGAAAGAGAGAGAGAGAGAGAGAGAGAAAGAAAGAAAGAAAGAAAGAAAGAAAGAAAGAAAGAAAGAAAGAAAGAAAGAAAGAAAGAAAGGAAGAGGAAGGGGCAAATATCAAGAAATCTGAGTGCTAAGAAGAGGCCAGTTCTCACGAAGGTACAGACACAAGGAAGGAAAGAATGCACCGAGCAGCCTCTCTGCAGTTTCTTCTGATCACTTTTCATAACCAGAGAACCATCACACCAGCTCCAAGTTTGATAAACCCCTAGATGGTTATCCGGGCTTAGCCATGGCCTAAAAATATTAAAGGAAAATTCCAAAAATAAACACATTTTTAATTGTGCACCAAGATGAAATCTTGTGATGTCCAGCTCTGTTCCACTTGGGATGTGAATTATTCCTTTGGCCAGCTGTTCACACTGCACACAGCCTCATCTGTTAGTATATGTAGTGCGAGATATGCACGTAACTTCTACTGTGATGTATTAATACAATTATTTTATTTTGTTATTAAGATTGCTCATTTCTTTCTTGCCTAATTTGTAAATTAAATTTTACCATGGTATACACGTATAGGAAAAATCATAGCAAATATAGATTTAGTACTATCCATCTCCTAGAGTTAGTCCATGGTTTTGGAATGTAACCTCTCCTACCCTGAGGATAAAGGGGGGCTATGTATGACATTGTCACGGAGCAAGAAAATTTTTTCCAAGATTTTCTTCTAAGCCCCTATTTTACAAAGACAATAGTGTTTTTTGTTTGTTTTTTACTGGCTCATTTCCAAATACAAAACCATGTTCTCAAATAAGCTTGTTCACGTAGCACAGGCCTCCTCTGGAGAGGCTGATGCACGCCCTGTCCCGGTCTTGCAAAGCGTTGACAGGAGCACAATTTGGGGATCACTGGGAATGCCTGAAGCAGAAGCTGCTGGGTGCACACTGCCAGGGCCTGCCTAAGAGTGGGAGAGTAAAAAACGAGTGCCAATGAGGCGGGCTCAAGAGAGGATGCACTGAAGGAGACACACCTGTTGTTTTGTGAATATCAGGTGCCCAAGGATGAAAGAACTCCAAGGAAGAGTGACAACTTATATAACAGACTAGCTAGTTTGGAACCCTCTCCGTTTGAAGCTTACCCTAAGGACTCTGTTAATTAGGAAAACTTTCCCAATAAACATGTATTAGATACCTACCAAAGGCCAGGCTGGGTGCTTTCACCCTACACAGGGAGTTGGGC